TACCTATGTATTATGTATTACCAGTTAAATAGTAAAATAAATACATATAATGATAAATTAACTGTGGATTATTTCATTTACGTTGCGTTACGTGGCTTCTGTGTGGGTAGCTCGCTGTTTATTCCAAAATTAACAAAGTAGCTCAACACATTGATTGATCACCAATGACCACTGATTTAGTGTATGATTGAATATTGCAATTTAAGATTGAGAAAGTCATCGATGTTGTAGAGACACAGATCAACCAGTAGCCTTTTTATATCATTCTTAAATTTATTTATATGCAGACTTCTTATATAATATAGAGCCTTATGGCCACGGCCAGAAAACTTTGATTGGTGATTGCCAGGCGATGCTGTGGCATAAGGAGGTTGTCGCCATTTCTGGTTGTATACTTATGGTTGCTGTTTACTGTAGTAATGTGTCGTGTTTTGATATTGACGAGACATTAGAATATGTATAAAGCTGGCTTTATTTTCCCCAATATTCTAAGGGGGCTATTTTTTGTAGGATAAGGATCCTTTCTCAATCAGTTGAATTTCCCCAGAAAATCTACTAACAAACTAAACTTGATATTCATTAAAATTCAACATTGAAGTGTACCCCTTTTTCTATTTTTCTGTTTCAGTAAAAGGAAATAAGTATGCAATTATTTTAATATGTAATGGTTTTTTGTAGGTTATGATTTGGTTCTGGCAGAAGATGAAGAGATGAACAGAATGGTGGAGTCGATGAAGCTCTTCGATTCTATTTGCAACAGTAAATGGTTCGTTACCACATCTATTATTTTGTTCCTGAACAAAAAAGATTTATTCGAAGAAAAAATAACTCGAAGTCCATTAACGATTTGTTTCCCCGAATATACGGGGCCTAACACGTATCAAGATGCTTCTTCGTACATCAAGATGAAATTCGAGAATTTGAACAAAAGAAAGGATCAAAAAGAAATATACACACACTTCACTTGCGCAACTGATACTTCTAATATTCAGTTTGTATTTGATGCTGTTACTGATGTCATTATTAAAAATAATTTGAAAATGTGCGGCCTTCTCATGTGAGCGGAAATTTCGTTTATTGGTGATCTTAGAGGTTAGTGTTCTATTGTATTGTCTAGATAACTACGTGAGTAAATTGAAGGGGCTACCTGCCCCATTTTGTAATAGTTCGAAAGAGTGATTTTCACGTAAAACTACTTGTTGGTCAATACAGATTGATCCAATCATAAACAGTAGAAATATGGCTGGTTTGTAGACCAAATTTATTTTTATCTTTTGCTTTTAAAATTTATGTAAGCTACTTCTTCTCGATTGAGATTCTGGTTAACTAGCATTTACAAAGTTCAGCAAATACAGATGGATATTTTATTTTCTTCTGAATTTTACCTTGAAAATATCCAGTCGAAACAAAATAGTGGAAATTCTGATGTGTCAGACGCTGTAAATTTTTCACCAAAATTTTTTTGTGTTGGATAGTAGCTTTTTTGCGTTAAAATTTTCTTTAAATTTTGTATGAATGGTTTGAAATAATGAATTTTAGAGCTTATCAGTTTCAGCCGTAGCTAGGCTTAATTATTCATTGATAGCTTGCACAAAATAAAGTTTAAAGGGTTTGTTTCCATGAGCATCAGCATATTTCTTGATATGATTTCTTGATTACTTCAATTTCTTGGTATTTCTTTACTTTGCTGAATGTCTCTTTGTTGAATATGTTTTTCAGTTTCGAAACTTTTTTGTTTGAATCAATAATGGTATTTCTTTGTTCAGTAATGTTTACAGTTCTTCCATAGCTTTTGTTCATTCAGTAGATTTTGGCGACTCCCATCATTACCATCCATCTGTTCATATTTTAAAATCAATCTTCAGGTACTTTCCAGGGACGATGAAATAAATTTGAAAAATTTAATGACTCACCTAGAATGGATTAGACTTTTTGGTGACAACTCCACTGATATATAATCGTTCATTTGTGAATTTCAAAGCGTCATTTGAATAATCTCTAGAATGGTCAACTTTTCTAGTTTTTATCTGTTACTTTTCCTATGCTTATCTGGACACAGTATATAATGATAAATTTCTATGGTTTTCGATATTTTTGCTAACCAGATTTGTGTTGTTTGGTGATTTTTCACAATTATCATCAGATTTGCCATTAGAGGAAACGTAATACAAATACTTTGTTTTTTAATTAGTAGAATTAAATTAATTACAACTACGAAGAAATATTTGATTATGATTCACGAAATAAAGTGTTGAGAGTCGAAAATAGTGCAAAGAAACATACATTATTAGACCAACAATGAAACGTCAATTAAAAAGAGCTTCCAATCGAAAGACAATTTTGGTTTAGGAGATCCTCATCTTGTACGCACAAAATGTAGGTGGATACAACTCAAATTCATCATTATTGCTTTTGTAACAACATGCACTCATATGAAATCCCCGTTTTTAGTCTTATTATTAAAGTAAATGACAACAGGAACAATTTGGTCTATGAACTATCCAGTAAATGTCAAATTATGATGCACAATAATAAGAATGGCAGCTTATAAATTGAGTCTGTTGGGTCTGAGCTATATTTAGCATTTCTGCCATTTGAAAAACTTCCAGTTTGTGAAATTAGTGATTAATAGTAATCAGAAAGGTTTGTTGGCTATATTATGCATCCTCGGATCACCGAAAAATGTTCGGGGAAGCTAGAAGTTAGTATTGAAGTTATGTACAGTGCAGACTTTCATAAAGTTTTTTATCCATTAAAAATAATGATTCTAACAAAAGCTATTAGTAATGAAGTGGTTCAGTATAATATATTCAATAATATGTGAGGATGTTCGTGAAGTTCAAGGAATTTTGCTGCCATTTAGCATTTTGTTGATTTTCATGACAATACTAGATAGTTTTTTAGCATAATATGCAAAACACTTGCTCTAACACGAAAAATGTCTGCAATCCAAGTATTTATAGCAAATATATCATCATTCAAGCTATCGAGAACACCCTGTAGTGATATTTTTCAAGTTTGGGAATAGATGATGATCATTAGTAACCAGCTAAATTCCTATAACTTGGAAAAACCCTCTCATTTGAATGTTTAACGAATCAAGTTGATGAAAACTGCATGTACATGATTTTTTTATGATTTAGTGAATGAAAATGGTAACATTTGGAACCAACAATTTTCTGAAATTAAGTTTCAACTTGAACTGAGTATTATTTATATTCACTGAACTGTTGTGAAAATATATGACAAATTGAAGGGTAATAATGTACCCGAAGACTTATCGTGAGACAATTTTAACTAATTTTTTGCTCTCTTTTTACAGTAGTTCTGTAGTTATTGAATGAAGCCATATTTTACATTCAGTTAAAGTATTTTACAATTATAGTTATTCAGTTTGGGTGTCCAGTAGAAGCATTCCTTGAATCAACTAAATCTGCCTTATTATGCAGTATTTGAACAAATTTTTGTACTTTTTCGCATTTTGTACTTGACTTTTACTATTTATGGTCACCGTTTACTTTGTTGACCTAACAAATTGTTGAGAAAATGTTTGTTAACGAAGTTGTTCCTCCTGAATTTGAATCTGAAAAAAAATTAGTAGACAGTTGAGAAAATATCCAATGATCAATGAAATAGCCATTATCCGTTTCCATGTTAGAGAGGCTGATTTAGATTCATATTCAGGAGTAGAAAACCTATGAATTTATCTCTCTTGTACTTTTTTCAACTCTTTTTAGGTAACTAATGTAACATTTGGCCCTATTTATTGTATTATAATGTAAAGAGTATATGTAGTTGATTAACTTTAGGATTATGAAACATTTTTGATGCCATGCTAAAACTAGACTTGAATAATAATTCTTCTGGAGCCTTTGAAAAGTTTTCAATTCAGAAAAGAATGATTACCTGATAGTATTTACAATCTATTGCAGTTAGTGGTTTTTCCAAATTTTGTAACACTAATGTCTATTGTAGTGTAATCATTTTCCAGTGAAATTGAAAACTTCATCTTTATAATTGATTATACACCAATATACATAATATTTTTGCAATTATAATATAATGTACTTGTTATATAAGATTTTTTTATTTTTATACTTTTGTACTTTTAATGGTCTCCTTCGTAATAGATCATGAAATGTATGAATTCTGCAGAGTATATTTTGTATGATACTTAATAAATTTATTCAAAATAATATTGATTTTTCGAATAATAGATGATTAATTTTTATAAAGCAGATCCTTTTCACAAAAAAATGATCAAGGATGAATTACAAATAAGTTGAACAGGTTTCAAAATGGTTTTGAGATTTTCTTACTCTCAAACACCATATTTTTGGAATCCTATGCGGTTGCTTTTCTGGATTCTGCATGTGAAGTTGCTTCTTTGTGTAAATTTTTCAATATCATATTTCAGCTGCTTATCAGTGACATAACAAGAAATATCAAGATGTAGCCAGTCCAAAAGTGTCATTCTCCAATCCAAAGACATTTTTTTTCTTCCTGCATCTGAGTCGGATATTATTGAAATAACTAAAATCCCTTTAAAGAAAAGTGCACATTTGGTGCTTATCCGCGTGTACAACGTACTTCCTTACTTACTTACTCTGAATATAGACCTGTAATTTTTTGTTTGTTTCCATTTTTGAACATTGATGCTCTCTGGATATTATAAGACCAATCCCGTCTGTCTTACTAACCTGGAATTGTTCACATGAATATCGAAGGAGTTTTGTTAAAGCCTGTGGCCTGCTGTAGACATTATCAAAGACGAAGTGTATCTGCTATGAGGACAGAGAGCTTTGTTTCTCAAACAAAATATCAATCATACACCAAACAACGATAAGAATATGGAAACGATTAAATATATTTGTCTATCCATTTCCAAATTTATCTATTTTTCATTTTTGACTCGCAAAGTTCAAATAGTAAACACAAGTGGAAAATTACTTCAGCTACTGTTGGATAGATGACACTACGATTTCTCTATGTGACCATTTTTATAGAAATCTTTTTTTCATCTAAAAAAATTTAAAAGGAAAGAACACACCGAGAAGTATAAAGTTTCAGCTTTTGTTAGCTAGATGGCGCTGTAAGTTTATGAAAAAGTAAGAACAAAAACAATCAGCGATACTGAAAAATCGATTACATACTTAACGTTTGTGCATATAAAATTCGTATCTGTCATCTTTTTCAAATGATTCAATGTTTTTATTTGCGACATGGAAAACCTATACCTCATTTCAAAATATTGTTGTACCTATTCTTAGGAAAAATCTATTATCAAAATTTCAGATATCTTGAAATCTACAAGAAATAGCGATGATTCACTGAGGTGTGAATCACAGATGTGAATCCATTTTCTACCTGTAAACGTTCAAAGGAAAACAACTTGATAAATATAAAGTTTCAGCTAGTGTTGGGTAGATGTCGCCACAAATTCATGGAAAAGTAAGAACAATAATGTTGGAAAATACTTCGGATACTATTAAAGAGATGGCGCCACCTGTGCATAAAAATAAAATTTGGAATAAAATTAACTGGAAGCAATGTTCTGAGAACGTAACTGAATCAAATTCACTCAAACAACGTAATGAAAGATTCATTTTCCATATTCAATTGGAAATTGAAATAACACACCAAACGGTATGTTTATGATGCCACAAATTCACAAATACGATAGTTATTTCAGTTAGACCAGAACGACTGGAGCGATTTTCGTAATTCTCGATTTAAAATTAGGAAAAAATTATTAAAGATAAACAAATTATTGATCAAGTTATGACAGATGTCATGGTGTGCATGTATAGTCATGCCATAATAGAAGCAAAGTCAGCAATATCCATCACAATGTTAGTTACAATACTGCGATTGAGAAAATTGATTCTTTCAGAACGAATCCGTAATGCAATTAGACAGGAGAATATTGCGAAATCAATCCACTGCAGGTGAAAAAGAAATAGTAGTATAGGAGTTCCATGTTCAGTTTTGCTAGGTTTATCATTTCTCTGGTTGTGGTTGAGAATTGATATAAACTGATGACTCAGTGCATTTTCCATTGTTTTCTCCTGGTTTTTGTGTCAATCTACTATTTTTCTCATACAAAACGGAGGTATTAAATGGCCTGGTTAGCTAGTTAAACTGGTTGAAATTCTGGATTCTGCACATAAAGACACATCTTTGTATTGAAAAATCAGTCTTAAATCATTTTAGAAGAAAATATTCAATTGATAAGAACCTTGAAATATTAGATTCAGAAAATGTAGAATGTGATTT